GCAAAAGGCGTGTCAGTGGGAGGCAAGGTTAAATACCAGAAGGAGGTGAATTTGCGCAAGTCAAAATATTTAATTCATTTACTTGAAACAAAACCAGCTTGGATTGATTCTATACCTCTGACTGGCTGCCTTCTTGAACAGAAAAGGGATAGAATTCTTCTCATGTGTCTGAGTCAGCAGTTCACAGTCATGGAAAGAAAATCCCAAACTTTATTAGAAGGTAATTAATTCATCATAACCAAAAGCAGAATTTTCCACTTCTCCACAGAGATGAGTTCCTCTTGCTGCATGACTTCACTAAAGCCAGGGAGTACACCAGTTTAGGCAAATGGGCTTTGGGAGGAAAAGCTTGTTGGAGCCAATTCTATTATCTGTCTGTAACTGGCACCGTTTCTTTGGTGCGGGGCTTGAAAGCCAGGAGTTGATCTTTGACTCTTCCTTTCACCCCGTCACCTGCCGAGACCTACTGAGTCTTCTGTGGGTCTTTCAGAGTCTCCCTTTTTCTGGTTCTGTAACCTCTACTTCTTGTTACTACTCCAATACCACTAACCCCCTACCTGGTCCCCCCCCGCCCCCCCCTCCCCCCCTCCCCCATCCATCCTAGACACTGGTCTAGCAGTCCTAAAGTTCTCTTCCTCAGCCTTCTGAGTACCAAGCTCAGGACAAAGTTTGTGAATGGTATTATGGACTGCCAATGCTCTACCTAAGGTACCAGCTTCGTTTATTGTTGTTGTTGTTGTCCATAAACTTTCTGATTCAAGCAAACCTGACCACTCATTCGTGGTGTTTTACACCATGCCTTCTCCCCCATTCCCAGGGGTCTTCCCCGGTGTCCCCCTCCCTGAATCCTTACTAACCACCCCCTCCCCATGTGAGCGCTAACTGTTCTCAACCTTGTCTTTGCTCACACATTTCCTACGGCTCTTTTAGTTTATATTATAACATCCTCCTTTTCTCCCTGAGGACAGATGGTAAGCCTCTTGGGGACAGAGACTGTGTTTGCTCATTGTTAGATCCCCTAGCAGGCGAACTGGTTATACCAGTTAAGACCTGTTGAATTTCCAATAAATTATATCCTATTGTTAAAAATAAACATGAAGGCAAGAAAGGTCATTCTTGACTCAAGTCTTCAAAGAAAAGATGGCAGCTCCAGTTTCCTCAAAATACTGTTAGCCTCTTAATAAGCTATCAACAGCCAGTAAATTACTGAGCCGGTGAATGCAATTCAAAGCATTACATCCATGAGTCACGCCGGCAGCTGGGCGGCTCTCTCCGGCTGCTTGGGTACAGAACGTTCATCAGAGAAGGCTCTGGAACAGCCACAAGAACGAGCCAGTTAACCACAGTGTTAAGATGTCACAGCTGGACCTGTGACACCCAGAAGCGGGTCGCGAAGCTCTGCAGGTGGCTCGCTTATGTGAACAACATAGGCAAGGGCCCAGCTGTGGAGCGCCAGCTCCACCAAGGGGCTCTGACAGGATGAAGAAGCACATTCTCTATGAGGGGCGCCAGGGGTGTGTGCGCACAATATGCATGTTCTTAACATGCTGTCAGGAAAAGCAGAAAAGTACTCACAGGTACACTAGACCACATGCAAAACCAGGAGGTTGTTCTTTTTCTTGTTATGTTACACTGAGTTTTAAGTGTTCAAAGAGGAATGAAACCTATTATTTTCTTTTTGTTTTTTTCTGCATGTATGTGGAGTTCACATGTCTATGTGGAAGCCAGAAGTTCCCACTCTCTTCTTCAGCCACTCTCCATCACCAGCTGGTACATTAAGGCAGGGTCTCTCCTGCTGAACCCAGAGCTCACCAGTTTTAGTCTGGCTAGTTGCTTGTTTCTGCCTTTTCCTGTCTCTGCCCTTTACGTGCTGGGATTACAGGCAGGCTGCCACAGCTGCTCGGCTTTTAGACCAGTGGTAGGGACCTGAACTCTGGTCCCTGAAGAACCATCTCCTTGCTCTGACATCATGTGTGTGTGCGTAAAGGAGTCCAATCTTAAAAATAAATTGCACTCAGTTAAGATGTTTCTGATGGTAATTACATTGAGTCTTTTGAAATATGTTTTCAAAGAAGGGAGTATCATTAATAAAAAACTTCAAGGAAAGGCCCAGGAGCAGACGTAAAGATAGAGTGTCAGAGCATTTTATTTGATGGGCAACAACGATGCTTAATAGGAATGATACATGTAAAGAAAGCTCACGTTATTTCTAGGTTCTGCTGCAGCCATACAAGAGAATAGAATACGGGAAACAAGTGGCCTAGGGCGAGCATGACGAGGGACAGGAAGGGACGCGGCAGCAGTGACATGAGTGTATCCTGAAGAGTGATGGAGAATATCGAGGTTAAACAGTAACAGAACACATTGAAATGTGATGATAAGGTGCCGAGAAAGCACCACAGCAGTCAAATGAGCCAAGAATGCCTAAGGTTTTAACCAACAGGACTGTAGGAGAAGACCATTGATTTACTATGCCGTTAAAGTCTAATCCCATCCCTGACAGATCAGCACTGTTAAACCTATTGGTAAGAATTAATAACTAAAGTTAGAGAAGGTAAATGGCAAATCAAAGATCTCATGTCTGGTAACAAAGTCGGGGCAGAACACTGGCAGGCTCCATCCATCCATCCATCCATCCATCCCCTTAAGAGATATTTACCAACTGGGTCCTGCTGACCTAGAAGTCCCTAGTGAGGGAAACAGACAAAAGTTCCCAAACTCATTTTATCATCCGGTAAGAAAGAGAGCTAAGTCACTCAATTAACCAACCTCTAATTTTGAGATCTGATGAGTACTATAAGCAAAGTGGCCACGGGGAAAGAACAGACTGAAACTCGGCATGACAAGGGTAGAGAAGTCCAACTAAATAAGATGTAAAGAATGGGAAGGATCCAGCCATGATAAAAAGGGGGAAGGAAAGTACATACAGACGTCTTGAGATGGGCCAACGCAGGCAGGAGCTAGGGGTCAGGAACACGGTAGCAAGAGAGGATGCGAGGCGGGGTCGCGGAGCAAGGGCTGCTGCAAGTTGAAAGTCTGCGCTTCTTTCAAGTACAATGGAACAGCACAGAATAAACTTATTGGGGCTTCGAAAGGACCACGCTGGTCACTATGTGAACAACAGGCAAGAACAGAAACAGAGAGAGCACTTAGCAAGCTCCTGCAAGATTTCAGGAGAGACATGGTTGATGGAGAGAGATGGAGGCGGTGGTGATACACAAAAACAGTTCTGAGAGTGATCAGAAAGGCCTTCGGTGGTGAGAACCAAAGGCCTCTCTCCTGTGAACTGTATCCGACGTGACTCCCTTACCATATGTTTATATTAGAAATTAACCAAGCTGGCACTGGTGGCTTAAACCGTGTATTAAAAAAAAAACCACACAGTACGTACTTTCACACACACATGCCTACTGGTGAGCCTTACCTTGGTGACTTTGTGGGGTTTATGTGATTTTGAGCCTCAGGCTGTCTACACATAAGGAGAACTCTCTCCTGGGTCAGTTGTGAGAACCATTCCAGCAATTCCAGAACACTAGGCCATCCTGGGACAACAAATGATGGACACTTGTCCCGCTCACCCTACTCTTCTTCCTCCAACAGTGGCATAAGAACACGCAGAACACGGGAGTAACCGGATGAGCGTGATGCCCAGATAATGGGAACACACTCAAGCTTCCTACCAGAGCTAGAAAGGATTTACATGACAGACCCAACCTCTGTAACATCCGTCTTCACACCTGCCTGGGAGGGTTACCAGGTAAAATATGGAATGCCCAGTTAAATTTGGATTTTTAACTGAGCAAAAAAACCTTCAGATATGCCCGTGTGTGACAACAATTTCTTCTAAAGTTTTTAATTACTTATCTGAAATTCAGACTTACACTAAGCGTCCTTACTGTAGTTTGAGTTGTGGAATCTGGCAATCTTATGACAAACTGTTCTACGATTCTGCCTTCATAGTCCCCATAAGATGCTAATGCTTCTCTGAATAAGACGGATGTCCCCCACCATCACTGTGCTTTTCTTCCATTTCCACATTTTTTTTTTTTGTATTTCATTCATCACTTCTCAGTCTAAATACTAAGTGTATAAATGTCAAAATCTAAGGAATGGCACTATATTGGGAATTTTACCATGCAGTCATAAAGAATGCTGATCCATGCATGTGTGTTTGCGGTGGATATAGAGGTGTGTGCACCTGCTGTGTTAACCTTTTAAAATAAAGATTACAGTAACAGCACATCAGGAATACCTTTTAAGAGTTTTCTAGTCACAGTAAATTAAATTTGCATTCACATTCATGAAAGCTACTTAGATCCCACCGTAGTAGAACCAATTATTGAATAAACGAGAAGAGAAAGCTTTGAATTCACTCAATAATCACTGTCTATCAAAAGCTAAGAGCTGAAAATCCTTCACTTAAAAATCGTAACACATGAAAAGAGTTGAGAAGTGTAGGCCACAGTTTCCTCTGAGTACCCCTCTTGCATATACACAACTGTTTCAATTTCTGTTTCAGTATGGCGGGAAAAAGTCACAGGAAGCACAAATCCAGTCAAGGACATGCGAAGTCCAAAGCAGCATCGGTATCTGCTACTGTTTCACAAGATGAGGAGCTTTCTTGTCCCAGAATGAAAACACACAGAGGAAGTTCTGCTATTTTATACACAAATTATTTAGTAGTGTGATTTATTTTCATTCTGGTGCAAGCTCACTTATGTACTGTGGACTGGAAACAAAATACTCATAGACTGGTGCTAGTCTGGAGACCACGTTTTGACTACCACCAATGTACGAGACCCCCAAAATTAATACTTCCTATCTTCAATATGACAAAAATAGAGACCTCCTACTTCTCACCATTCCACTGAATGAGGTTCTTTTTCTTTCACTGAAGCAAAGGCACAGATATGTCCTTCATCCCGAACAACTTCCCTGAGTCTAAGGACTATAAAAACAGTACTTTCCCCAAGTTTAGAAAGAAGAGGATGTGTGCTTACTCTTCTTGGCGTAAGTCATTGACGCTGCGGTCCAGTGAGATCATGTCACTTGCCACCATGTTAAATCCAAACTCCTTAATGCTCGCTTGAACTGCTTGCTTGTATTCTGGTCCCAGAACCAATGGCTTGGCTTTCTCTCCAGGGCCACCAACCACTCCGTGAGGCTCGGGTTCTTTGGGCTCAAAGTTACCGAGGACCCCTGGGCGTAGCACAGGATCGTGGTAGGTGAATGTCTGAGGCTTAAACGTGAGGAACTGCCTCTGTATTATGTCTTTTTGGGAATCTCCTCCAGCATGACGCTCCTGTTCATTTTTGGCCTTGTTTTTTCTTCTAATAGACTCTAAGTCCACTTCTACTCCTTCAACATGAGGCCATGGTACCACAGGTTTGAATCTGTCATCCCCAGGAGCTAATCCATTGCCTCCTCGGTTAGGCATGGGGTTATTGACATCTCTGTCTTCCTACACAAAAGGGAGGGACATACAGTGAGTACACGAAGGCATACCAACCTCAGTAGAACTCAAGATAAAAACTTTTATGTTCAAGAAAAGGCTGAGACAATCATAAAACATTTGAAAATGTGAAATGCAAGCAGGACACCATTAATCAGGACATTGTGCTGGAAGACAGCTTTCAGATTGGAAAGGTATGATCAAACAGGCTATTTTCTCACCTTATTATTTCAAAAATAAATGAACACATTTTTACTTGTCTCTTTATAAATTTAACTCGCTTTAAAAAGATTTCTCAGTGATTGAGACAGACACTTAATTGGTCTAATGGTACAGCGGTGTTTTTCAGTTAGCTGATATATGACAAATAGAACCTTTTGTTAGCAATACGGCCATATGGTAGCAGTGATATCAGATGGATGTCACCCGTCAGCCAGCTGGCTTTGTGCCCCAAATGGCAGAGGAACAAGGTAAACTTATGCACTTGGTCCTAATTCAGGATTTTTCTACTCAGTCAGAGTTTGGCTGAGTAAGTACAAAAATAAACAAAACTCAAATAACTGTAACCAAGCCACCATGGCCTTTTAAATTCCTCTCTGTACTTGACTTTGCCACATCTAGGTAATATGGTAAAGATGGGCCCTGCTTGTAAGAATATTCAGTAAATATTCTCTCTTCAGTTTGGACTCTCTTCACCTACGTAGATCATTTAGCCAGAAATCCCCAGTGCTATTGCTTCTGAGGTAAAAGATGTTAACCTTTTGCCAAGCCTTTCACGAAGCGGTGTTTCTCAACATTAACACCATCTCAGACGACCTTAAAGAATACTGAAGCGCCTGCTCTCGGGCACAGTGATTTAATTGGTCCAGGCAAGTGGAGTTTTGAAAGCACCCCAGGTTGTAATATGCACCTGAGCTACTGAGAGCTACTAGCTTAAAGTCAGAGTGTTAGCTGTAATTGGGCAGGGGAGGTATGGAGCCAACACAGCTGGGTAGGACACAAGGCTCCCCGCGAACTGCAAAGTAGGCCAACTGTCGGCCAGGTCACTCCACACTTCAATTATACCGTCCCCTAACAGGTCAACAACAGAACTAGCACAATCCACCCTCCTCCCCAAATTTTTAAATTGAATGACCCTGAGAATTAAAGTTCAAAACTTCTTAATGACTACATGAAAGCTCTAGGTACAGCGGTGATGTTTAAGCTGCTACCTACTTACAATTCATTAGAGATAGAAATTTCTGGAGTAAGTTATTCCAGATGGAAATCTAGGTACGGAGTGGCTAAGGATTAACTTTAGAGAAATCAAAATCAATTTTTAAAAAATTATCAGTTTATTTTAGTAATATTCTGGTAGCCAATAAGCTACAGACCCAATAGGCACACAATGAAAAGCAAGATGTTCTCCCTTTCCTTCACAGAGGCAATCATATTTCCCAACTGCTTACACGTTTCTCTAGAGATGTGTATGAACATACATGTGTGTTCACATAACAAGCGATTTTAACATGGAATGTAGACATTTGTTACTCCATTAACGAGAACCTGTAACATGTTATGATGGATTCAAGGATAAACCCAAAGAACAAACAAGTACAGAAATACCGAGAATATTAGGTTATACAGGGCAGCAATCAATTGTACTCTGTTCTACACAATTTCCACTTCAGTGGACAAGAATTCTTTGTATATAGTATAAAACGGTCCAACGATAACAAAAGTGTAACAAATAGGAGAACTGGGTGAACCACACCAGTCATCATCTGGGGTCATTTTAAAGTTTCACACAGCTGTACCTGAGACACGAAAATATAAGATGCAATATAGCTTGACTATATAAATGTGATTCCTTTCTTCCAGAAGATACGGCTTTTGGATCAGGCTTCTGAGCCCCAGGGCTGTGTAGGAGAGACTTAGCTTGAATCTAACTTTTGAGCCCTAATCACATCAGAGGCAAACAACCAGAAAAAGAAAGAATACTGCACCAAGAAGGCAGAGGAGGGGAACTTTGGGGGTGGGGAGAGAACCAGCCGGGGGTAGCAGGGGACACAGAAGGGCAGTGGGGAAGGGGAGCAGGCAGAACAAAATATAATCTCTCTCTTACACACACACGAGATGCACAGAAACGCCACAACGGAACTCATTACTTTTACATAAAACTTAAAGCAATAACAGTAAATAACTAGGAGGTCATCTCGCCAAAAATGTTCATAAAGGACTGGAGAGTCCCTCGGGATTAGCCAATCATAAGAAGAATGCACCCCACGTATGACGAATTCTGCAAGAGAGGGGCAAGCATTGAAGCCAAGGTCTGGTTCCGATGAGGGGAGTGCTGCTTTCTCTCATCTGTTTCCTTTCTCTTTCCAAACACGTATGTTGTTGTAGATGAATCAAAACAGAAATCATTAGAAAACACCGCAGGGCGCGAGAACAGGGTTACTGACACGGAACCAAATTTAACATAAGAAAAAGGCAGACATTCTCTCCCTTCAAATTCTCATATTATCAGTGTGGGAACTGGTAAAAGCTGGGGAAAGGAAACGGCACTGATCATGGATGAGTGGTCTGAAGAGCCATACTACCCACTAACTCACCATGGTGGTTTGCAATTGGCCCCCATAATCTCACAGGGAGAGGAACTATTAGGAGGTTAACGTAGGTGTGGCCTTGGTGGAGGAAGTGTGTCACTTTGGGGGCGGGCTTTGAGGTCTCCTATGCTCAAGATACTGCCCAGTGTCACAGACTATTTCCTGTTGCCTTCTGATCAAGATGTAGCCAGTGCCATGTCTGCCTGTGCGCCGCCATGCTCCCCGCCATGATATGGACTGAACTTCGGAATTGTAAGTGAGCCACCCCAGTTGAACGTTTTCCTTTACAAGAGCTGCCATGGTTGTGGTGTCTCTTCACAGCGATAGATAACTGTAACTAAGACACTTATCTAATGTCTCCTGGGAGGAAGCAGTATCAGAAGACTATGGAATAGCACATGAGATGGATTTGAGATGGTTTCTAACTTCATGTGTACCTTCTACTAAAAACTGATATAATGGTCATCAACCTTAAGCTGTAAGTGTTTTTTTAGGGTTCTCTAAGAGGTCTGTTCTACCTTCTTCCCTGGCTACCCCACTTTCTCCCAAGCTCAGTGACCATGTTACACTGATGACTCTTCTGCTCCACTTCCCCGGGCCACACCACACTTCTGATTTCCAGATAACGCACACAGCTGTTTCCTGAACCTGTCCACTGATCTCCATTATCTCTACTTAACACACCCCCAGTGGAACCTGCCGTTTGCCTCAGGCCACCATTTCATCGCTGTCTTCCACACTTCAGAGCCCGGGTCACCCACCCTCTAGAGGGCCGATGAAGTCCAAAGCCACATTTCCTGTCAACTTCTTGTTTTGTTTTTACCTGTTCTACCGACATCCAGCCCCTCATGAGTCCCCGTCAATTCTGTGGCGGGGTAGCTCTTGCATTTGACTGCTTCCATTATCCTCGCGGTGACTTACTTCAGTTTGGCCAATCTCCTTGAAGAAAGATTATTATGGTAGTAGTCCCAGCGATGACTGTGAACACTGTGTTCCAAATGCTTCTCGGACATGAACCTGTGTAATCTCGTGGATGAGCTAGGATCATTATCAGACAGAAGGAATGGTCCAAATTATCTGAGACCAGAATCAGCACCGAGTGGGATTAAAATCTGCACTCTGACTGGCTGAGGAGTCTCTGCTCTTGAGCCCCCTACCACCTTCAGGCTCCCCTCCTTCCCTCACTTACTGTCCCCCTCCTCATTTTTCCTTCCCAGCAGCCACGAGGATTTTCCTCAAATCAAATATGAAGATATTAACTCTGGTTGCTTCTATCTCACCGGTGGCCACAGTTCTCAGAAGACATTCTCTAACAGGACTGACAAGATTTCCCTACACTCCAGGCTGCACTAATGTAATGTCTTTATTATTACCTGCAAAGCAGCGGCTGGGTAAGTTTATCTAAGAGTCGAACAGGACTTTTTTTTTTTTTTTTTTTTTACTTTGCAAACCGCAAGGTCAGTAAGAGCGGTCACAGATGCTATGTAAATAAATGGTAATGATTATGTTCAATAAAACTTTATATGCAAAGACAGGTGGAAGGCTGGATTAGGTTCCTCAACCCCTGTGCTCCATGGAAGTTTGACGAAGGGACAAAGGCTATGTCTATCCTGTCCCCAGTATCTGTCTTTGTATAGAAGTCCTCAAAAAAATTTATTGAATAAATGAATCCTAAAATTTGTGCTTTTGTAGTAAGAGAGACAGAGAAGAAAAGGAAAAGACAAAGAATGGAGAAGACAGTGTTGGGACCCAGAGGCTCGGATTAGCAGACAGACCCTTACTGGCAGTATCTTAGGAATTCACTGGGGACATAACTAACTCTCTGCATGACACTATACTCTAATGATATACAACAGTGCCAGAAAAATTGAGTCTACCGGCTTCTCAAAGCCTGTATGTCATTAACTGTGAAGGTAGAACCAAATACCAGAATTGTCTGTCAAACCCCATGTCAATTAGGAATAATCATGTCAACTCTTAATGTTCTATGATTCAGAGAGTGGCTCTGAAGCAGTGTAATTCTTAACTCCCTTGGGAAGCAAAGCTGTGCACTCCTCTTGCAGGGAGTAAATGAGTCAGAAGCCTCCATGACTCACGGTACTATAATAGTGGCTGACTTACTGTACAGCCAAAGTCAATGAATCACTGTTGACTAGGAACGCAAAGAGAAACAGAAGGTACTTTTGCAGGATGGTTACATTCACAAAGATGAGAAGGACAGAAAAACGCAACCACTTATCACCAGATGCGAACGTGAAACAGAACTGAGGTCTACCTTATATTATAAAACGCTCCCTGCACTGACCCCCCAAATCCTTTTTACGTGTGCCATTTTTTCCAGGATGATCATGCCTTAGTAAAGATGACACTAATCTAAAAGGACTATAAAAATGGTCTTTAGAGCAAATGACAGTAGTCTAG